ATGGCATATGAGAAGTTTGAAGCAAATGCATGTTAATTTCATTGAAATATGTATAGTGATCTTGTAATCTGTTTCTAGCTCTGAGCGTGGCAATGTTTGTATTTTATTATAAAAATATGTCTTTTCTTATTACCAGAGTTAAGCTTTCTTGCCTACCATAGGCATCCTTCAGAGTGGTTCCTTGTTACACTTACCGCTTGTGATACACAAGAGTGAAGTAGCACATTCAGCTTGCTTTTACAACTGCAGTACATTGGGTCTTTAACCTGTATTGACAGTTCAGATTCACATGCTTGTACAATGACAAGAGCACAAAGATCTACTTTCCAAAATCTGGTTAAAATTACTAAACCAGTGAACAAGTGAAGCTATAAAGGAGGATCAGGATGGAAATTCCTGATTATGAACAGTCATACACTTTGCTATTTGATTTCATAATAGCTTCCAAAAGATATGTTAAAATAAACAAATAAAGATTCCTCTTGATTGCTCAGCTAAATAATAGAAGTAGTTGGAACACTGCTGATCAGGGGAGGTGTATCAATTGGAAATTAAAGTCTGTTGTCTATCAGCAATAGCATTGAAGACATAGAATGGTAAGTTAGGAAAAGAAAGTGCCTCTCTATTATCTTCTGAAATGGTGATTATCAAAATCTGTAGGTTGTGCTGAATACATTATAGTATGGTCATTTAACTTACAGAATTGAAGGAAGCATTTGTGCATATTGTAATTAATTCACTTTTGACATGTGTAATTTGAAAGTTACTGGAGTAATGTAAAGGTTTGAATGATTTGATGATATGTAGATATGTTCAGTACTGTCCATGATAATCCCATGATAGCTGAGACTGAGCTGAGCAAAAATGGTCAGAAAAGGTGGAAAGTGGAATCTTGCTATTACTGAAGCCAGTGGGTTGGCAAAAGGCCTCAGAGTTGGGTCATGTGGTTGAGACAGGTCTTGCATTGGTGCTACTGTGATTAGCCTTGTTTTTTGGGAGTGAGTTAGCAAACTCTTCATACGTCCATTTCTCTATCAGGAAATTGAATATAACAATTATCTGTATATAGTGAGATGTATTTTTGTAAAATAGTTCTGGAACTTCTGGGGAAACACTGTTCAGAATGTAAATAAGTAGGCCACGTCTCAATATCCATCATCAAACACTGTTCTCAGCGCTCTATTTCATGGTTAATTTTATGGGTTTCCTTCCTTTTCTGTCATCTTCTGTTACACAGAATAGCTTATCCATATTTCCTAAATGGTGTTTTATGTGTAAAGGTTTAGATGTCTACCTTCTTTCATTGGAATGAAATGCCTACGGCAGAGAGCGAAGATAGCTTGGTAGCTGCTTTTAGGATCAATGTCAATAAGCTTTCGTCTCACCAGTAAACATTTATTGTGACTTAATGCACAATAGTATCACCAGATGCATCAACAGATTGATATTGTCACAGTATTTTCCTTTGTTTGGATGGTGATTTTCCTAAGGGTTTACTAAATGTTAATCAACCTAATAAAAATGTGTTGAAGAGAGAAAATGAAAATGGTGGGCCAAATGATAACAATAGGTTCTATTCATGTTAAAGCTAGCTTGTGAATTCTGGTATCTGCGTTCCATGGGCTTTTTCCTATGTGTTAGGAAACAGCATAATTGAAGATTAAAATAAGCCTACTGCTTAACTGCAATATATTATTAAAAAAAAAAAGAAAATGGAAAGGGATTGAAAACCTGAACAAGCAGTTATAATCTCTTACTTACGCCTCTTTATGGAGATCTTTAAATAAGATTATGTATTTAGAGGGCATCCTCATCTGGCAGGAAATAATATAAGACCAGATTATGTAATTGCACCAAATTAAATAGACCAAATAACTTCTAATCTATGGAAGGGCAAAATTTTTTCAGTGTTATGTTGTTTGTGACTACAATATTAACAGTTTATAGTTAATCCTATAAAATCAATGTTTCTAATATAAAAGGAGTTAGATAAGGAGTGGTCTTGAGAAAGATGAATTAAGCAAGACTGCATTCAGGTTAAATCCAGCTGTTACCCTGTTTACCAATATTTGCTGATGGCTTCTCTTAAAGATCAGCTCTTGTTCAGTAGAAGCAGTTCCCACTTCATATTAGTGAAATATTTCTAGTAAAATTATCACAAAGAAAAATTAAAACTAGAAATGATCTAGGAATGTCCATAATTCCACAACGTGGAAGTTGTCACTGTTACCCTATTGCAGAAGCACCACTGGGCTGAAAATTTACTTCTTGATGCTATTTTCCTGCTAACATATTCTTGCCTGTAAAGGTGAGACGGCTAGAACGAACAGAGTGCTGAGAGCGTGGACTGGTACAGGACAATAAAAGCGCACGATTCCTATAAGGGCATAAGCATCCAAGAGGAATATCTGCCTCACGTCTGCTGTTCCCCTGAAAGTAAAAGATGCACCTCTTTAAAGGATACAGCAGGATTCTGGCATAAGATGTTGTGTTGCCATCTCATAACTTCATATTACTGTTGGATGATTCCCATAGTACCTTCATGGGGTGCTCCTTAGCAGTGAGATGTGATTGTTCCAGTGAAAGAAGGTAGCTGCTCTTCTGCAAGCTCATTTAGGTTGCTTTTGCCTTTGCAATGGAAATGTATCAGTATTCTTAAACTTGCTTTCGTTTAGTTCAGTTTCTGATACATCTTTAGTTGCGTGCAGAAGTAATAAGATACTTGTTCCATCTAGAATTGTATGTTTTTCATGTTTTTTCATACCAACAGTGTCATAAAAACATAGGTGACATGAACATGTCAAGCAGGAGGTGTGAGGTGACCTCCAAGGGTTCCTTCTAGTAAAGTGTTCTGTGATTTCTGTGATTCTGTCTAATATTTCCTATAGTAAAACAAAAAATTGAAAAATTCATGATTCCCAGGGTTAGCATTTATAAAATACTTCAATTTTTCCTTTAAAGTGGTTATTTCAAAACTTCTTTTTATTTTATAATTTAAAATTCATCTAAAAGTTAAACATGAGGAGGAAATGAGGCTATATGGAAAAATGAAAATAATCCTTTTAGTATTAGAGTAGTCATAATTTTATTACTGGTAGCATTATTATTGCAACCTCTTCATTAGGTGGTAGGTAGGTTCAATTTTTTTTACCATAAAAAAAGGAAGCAGCAAAAGAGGTTGATATTTTACTGAGCTCATAGTAATAAGATCTTTTAGCTTTCCTAAGCCTACTGAAGTCTGTGCTGCTGGGGATATACAGGCACCGAGCATTATATGGGGAGAAGGGCAGCAGGATTTTGTAATGTTTTTCTTCTAAACTCACAGACTTGTAGGAAATGGAGTACCAAAGAGGATCCTGACTGGAATACAGGATCTGAGGGAGCATGCTGTGTGTGTCCTCCACTTAGAGTCTCAGAATTAGCTGGTGCAAAAGGCCGAAACAAAGTTTGTCTCCTGAAAAATTCATGCTAACTTGGAAATGGGGGTAAAAGGGATATGTGGTGGTTTCCATATATGGAACTGTCCTGAAGGCTATGAGATAGACTTTGGAATTTCCCTATCTTTACAATTTGTTCATCGTTAGGATCTTGTTCCCACTTGCATGCGTCCTGCATTTATTCAGATAGTTTTATATGGATATTTTTATTCATTCTGGTATTCTTGCTCTTTCCTTCTTTCTACGAGTTCTACTTAGAGAATGACTACTCTATAGAATTTATGTTGTAGTAGAGACTATAGTTCTGTCTGTCTTAATCTTCTCAAATATTGTATTCTTTCTGTGTACTTAGGTAAAATTCTCAAATTCTCATGACAAGCATTTGTAAGGGTAAGATCTGTGATATCTGTTTAAAAAAAAAAAAAATTTGATTTTCAAGATGTCCAAACAGACTCCCTCCTCAGCTTTGTTCTGTGCTTGGGATGTTGATTAAAATCAAAATGAGTTCTAACCTTAAAAGGTACATGCTTTTGTTCTTAATGATGGTTGATCGTTTAAAGAATGAAGCAAGAGTAAAACTGGGTAAAAAAACATGATTTTGAACTTTACCCCCATGATTTGCAACTACCGACACTGTATTGTAGTTCATCATGGTAAGGTTACTATTATCTTGCTTCAATATATCAGTCTAAAGTTGTGAAGAACTGTAGCTGTTCTCAGATTTGCAGTCCTGCCTGATTCTGTGACAATTTGTAAACAACTTTCTTTGGGTATTCATTAATAACGGTAATGGTGGACATTTGTATTTATTCCAGCACAATTATCACTTCAGTATGTGGAACTGAAATGGTGCTATGCAAATCTATTGCCTTAAATGGACTTTAAAATGGGTGAAGTAGTAAGGGGAATTTTGGAAAGATCCGGGTTGCAGATGCAGTGGCACAGACTGGAGTCAGATGGTCACAATGATTGTAGTAGATTTGTTGTTTTTCTTGGCTCTTTTCATCTAAGCAACATAACTCTATAACTAAAGATCTAATTACATTAGTTCTCTATTGATACTGACAAAGCATAGGTGACTTAATTTGTAAGTCAGTAACTTTAAAATAATTATGCGCTTTTTGAGGCAAAAGGCATAGTCCTTATCTTAAACGTATTTCAAATTGCTGCTGCAAGGCATATAGATTCTCAAGGTTTGCAAGAATTTTGCATCATTGGAGGTTTTGTGTCCCAGCTGTGTTTTCGAAAACAGCTGAGTTCTTCAAAGCTTTCCTAAGACCCCTTCAGTTTGAAATGAAATTATTGGCCTAGAGTTTTGTCAAAGATGTAAGCAACTATAGCTGGATTATAATATTTAAATGTGTAATTATCTGCCTTTATATGACGTTAAGACCAAAAACCTTTTTCCTTACTATCTGAGAAATGAATAAAGATAATTGAGTTGAAGTTAATGGAATTAATGGAGTTGGCCTTCTTCCTATGCAACTCTATGCTGGTATCTAGAAAAGTAGAAAATACTATGAGTTTATATCTGGACACTTAATATGTGATGTTTTCTTTCAGCTAACTGATACTGGCCACATCCAACAGTTCTTTACCATTTTACCGGTTAAGACAAAATGGAACAATGCAAATTTTCATATTCTCTTATTTGATCCGGGAAGGCTTGCCGAACTTCTGCTGTCATCTCAACTCAGTGGACTAAAGCCATCAAATTCATTCCACGACTATGACACCCTACAAAGAGCCAAAAGTACTGCTGAAAAAAAGGCATTGACATTAAAAAGAAACAAAACTGCTGGCTCCATATGTCTGGTGGATGGGCAAGTAGATACTGTTTGTTCAAACCAGGTCCATAGAGATAACGTAGTTAGGCCTTTGGAAGAAAGTGGTGGCATGAAAAGACAGAAAAAAGTGAAGAGTTCGAGAAAAAATAGAGCACATTCACCAGGAAACGTTGATGTGAACATCACCACAGATACAGCTAAACTGCTTTTGTCATGTCTCTTACCGTGGGGTGTAGATAAGGAAATAGACAATCTTTGTATTAGCTACTTAGATATCTTGAAGCTCCAGTGTCCAGTCTCTTTTGGACTTGTGTCAAATGAAAATCACATATCCTTAATGCTGCCAGGATGGAATTGTACTGGTTGTGGTGTGCTAGAGGAGCACACAGTAATCAACTTGTTTTCAAAAAGAGTGCTTGATTTGTCAAACAAGTACCTTTCTGCAACTGAAGGACAAACTGGAAAAAAGGATGGACCAGAGAATAATATTTATGGAACACAGCGATCAGAAACTGTGTTTTTATTAAGCAGAATAGCTTTGATCAACAGGATAATTAACATGCCTTTGGAAGTAACAAGTGAAATGGAAAGGTAAGAACCATTTCCTTATGAGTCTTTTCCTCCTCCATAGTGGTAAAAAATGGAAAATATGAAAAAAATACTTATTCTTAAATATGGGCCTATGCAATAGAGTCTATGCTCTTTTTCTAGAGTTTTCTTATAGGACATCCTTTCCATGAAAGGAGACTTAGCAAAAAAGTAAGTACTCTTCTGTTTTTCTATTTAGCACATGAGTAAATAGATGCAATACACTTTTTCAGCAGAACTAGAATTTGAATTATCCAGCTTCACGCTCTCGTTCCAAAAATCGGTCTTCTCACTGTTGAGAGTAAGTAGAATACCAGTCTCTGTTCAGGCACATTCTGAGATGGGCAGAGCATGTTTGTGCTGTTTTAGCTTCCGGTTGCTGTAAGCAATATACTTCCTTTACCATGCAAACCCCAGGCTCCGCAGATAAATGAAACATGAGAGACAAGAACAATCTATCCTAATTCTGATATCTGAAGTACAAAAAGCCCAATAGTAATGGCAGCTACTGAGAATGAATGCCTCATTGGCCCCTATATTGTGAGAACCATCCCAAATAATGCTTACATTACTTAAAATATATTTATTGACTGAATGCTTTCTCAGCGTTAAGAAAAAATTAGTGTATTCAACATTAATTGACCAAGCCGAATAGAGCATACTAATCAGGCAATGGATATTATTCATAGACCGTTGTTGTTCAGCAAACCTACATTGGTCTCTAGTTTAGTATTTTAGGGACAATTAACTCAGTGTTGTTGATGCTATGGCTTAGAGGTAAGAAGGGGTACAGAAGATACTAATTCTGGTGGTGCAAAAGGCTATGCATCTTCCACAAAGCTCTAGGAGTTCAGGATATCTCAGGAGATAACGCGGAATCCTGCAGAGCAAACAGGTATTTCTCAATTATTTTTGTTGCTATTCATGTTGCCTGTTGGTCCATGTTCAGCATACGCTCTTATACCAAAGTATGTTTCTAAGATGCCACCTCGAACATGAATTCCAAGGGAATGAACTTCAGTTGTCTTCAGACATGAGTATTCTTATAAAGAAGCAATTTGAAGCCTCCTAGTTAGTTTAGGAAAGAAAAAGGCATGTTGTACTTCCATGAGATAGTTCTTTGTGTATTGAAGGCATAGTTTTGCTAATTGAAATTATTTTTGTTGTCTTAATTTAAGATCACCATTGATTCATTCTAAATGCTAATCAGTCACAGCTGCACGAAGTTGTACAAAGATCTTGCACAAGCTGTTGTGCAGGATGCAGTGAGACAGATGCTGTGCTGCTGCAGAGGCAAAATTCTGTTGAATCAGAAGCTGCAGTAGTTCATAACAACCAGCCCATCTACTTAGTGACCTAATTTATAAAACAGTTACATGTAAACAAAGGTATCTCCCTCCTTACAGCTGGGGATAAAAGCCCTTTTCATATGAAGTTCCCTTTTCCTTTTTTTTCCCCTAGGAATAAGTGTATCATTGATAGGATTTGGCCTGTTCTCCACAATTTTGGAATTCAACCTTTGTTTCTCCTCTTGTGCAAATAATTGAGGCCTGAGAATGATTTCTCACAATCTACATTCATCCTTTCTTTAGATCTTTCTGTATGTCTTGTCCTTATTCGTTCCTTACTCTGTACTGTGTTCAGGGTTGGAGTTAGTTTTGTTCATTATAATAACGAATGCCATATAATGCACTTCTGCCGAATTAAAGGTTCAAAGAAATGAAGCAAGTGCTGTTTTGTCCACTTTGCCATCTAAAAGTAGAAGTATGTAGCCATATTAATTTGCTGGGTAGTTGGTTTGGGTGAAACTGCTGCGAGCTCAAGGGAAAAGCTAAGTATTGAATTACAATTTGCTATACCCTTTGTGGAAGAAGTTAGTGGGACAGAGAATGGAGAAGAATGTTTTCCTGCCCCAACAAGGGTGCTTACAGCCCTCTCCTTCCAGTGTGGGGAAAGGTGAGAGGAGATCTAGCGATGAGCTGGAGAAATTAGAAGTCAGTGTCACGACTTTGGAACAGTCTAGGTATGTAATTTCCTCACTGTAAAAGCAGGGTAGATTACTTAATTTACAAGATTTAGGGGGCAATGGCTGTTTAGTCTGTGATTTTACAACTACTAAGAGTCCTGGTCCATTACTGGCCTCCTGAGTATTATTGCAGTACAAATAACTCTTGCTGCTTTGGTTGCTAACATGAAAGATAAATGCATTCTGATCTCTGCCCAGTAGTTTATCTCTCAGCAAAGCTGTGTGAGTTTCTCAGTCCTGTGAAGGTTTACTTTCTGTTGTCACACTGGCACAAACCCAGGAAGCTTGAAGCTTTTAAACTTTTAAATGAAAACAGGAGAGAGAAGAACATCTGAACAGGTTGTCCAGTGACTAGGACAGTGAATATATTTTTGGCTGGTACTCAAATCCCTGGCCACTTTGATGTTAGAGTGGACTTGCATGTTCATTCCCTGCAATCTAACCCAGTGTCCTAACTACTAGTTTATAGTAATTTTGGGATTCTTCTTTTATTAATGCTGGTCTACTTTGCATATAATACATTGGGCTATAGGGAGACTTACCGTATTGTCAGTTGACTATGGCCTAGACCAGAGGAATGGAATAATAGTTTAAATCCCTGTTTTCTGGCATATCTTATCATTTCACTAGTACAGGAGATTGAAATTTTCTTCTGGAAAAATATATATATAATTATATATACCTATATATATAAATATTAAAAAATGGAGAATCAGAACTGGAAAAATGCATTAAGTTGCTTCATAGTCTGGACATTCTGGAATGAGTCTGATGGTCTCATTTTGAGCCAAAAATCTGTCCTTGTCAAAATGTTTCTGCTTAAAGCATAGGACTGACAGATCAGCACTCCCCAGTGAAAAACATTTGATTGGAAAACTCTTGACTAGCTCTTATAAGTTTTAAGCTAGTGATTTGGATCAGCAAGTTTCAGGCTATTGTTTTTCTGTGAACTATTAGCTACTTGACTTGATGAATGAAATCTGTGGAATGGGAAAGCAGTGAACAGTAAATGGCATGCTTTGACCACACATTATCAGGTTACTAATCTACCTTAAACAAAAACACACCACCACCCCCCCCCCAAAACCCTGAAACAAATATTTTTTTTACAGGATTAAATATTTTCACGAAAACCTGTTTATTATCCAGAAAAGAATAGCATATGAAAAACATAACCCTAGGAACACCAGGAGTTGAGTTTAAATACTGTTGTTCATTTAAAAAAAAAAGTTTGTAAATCTGTTGTTTTTTACATCTTGACAAGGTCTTTAAATATAAAGGGAAATTGCAGTAAAATAATCAGGTTATAAATGTGGGACAGAATATCGTTAAGGGATCCTTGTTGGCAAGAGCATCAGTATGCATTTATGTTACATTTTTATTTCATAGTCCAGGCCTTTTTTGCTAACTTACCTTATTCCTTATCAGTATGTTCATGAAAAAACAGGAAGAAGCTAGGAGGAGGAGATCTTCAAAAAATTAGTTTTCTCCTGCTGCATTTTGAGATTTGTATCTGTAACATTCCTTAAAGCTCTCAAGCTGAAAGCTTTCAGAGCTGTTTAGAATCTTAGCTTTTAAAATATTACGACTTACTGTTGGTTATAGTGAATTTGACAGGTGAAATGTATTATTTTAAAATGACAACTTATATATTTTTTTTCAGGGTCGCTATGGCATAGTATTTAAAACAAATGTATTGATTTAAAATAGTACAAGGGTTTGGGGAGGTTTTCCACTTCCTTTCCCTCTTTCCATGTTCTTTCTTTGTCTTCAAGAGTCTGGTTCCTGAATGAGTCCCCTAAATTGTAGCCATTGTTGAAGTTGCAAGTGCTGCAGTATTTTTTAAAAAGATTTATTACCAAACTAGCACAAGTACTTTGCAAAAGATATTTTACTTTAATTCATTGCATATGATTCTGTTTCTGTAATACAATATGAAAGTGAGCTATAGGAAACTTTGGGCCAGATGCTAAAGTTCCTGCGTAGGGACAGTACTGTTCAGGAGTTGTGTATGTGTGCCTATTTCAATAGTGAGGTGAATTTCAAGGGTGAAAGCATACATGTCACTTTGGAGAAGAGACTAAACTATGGTTGTTAGTAACTGATAGCAGTCAGTCATTGCCTTAAAACAGATGAAACTTTTGTAAGTATGTTCACTTTTATTTGTTTAATATTCTTTTAGTCCACGGAAATCAGAATCTGTACACAACAAGTGGCGAAACATGGAAGCAGTCAGCTCTTTGTTCCCAGACTTACCAAGCAGTAAGTATATGAAAGAGTGGTGATATTAGCTTTTAATGGTGTTTTGTTTTTGCATGGATTTTGCTGATAAATGACACTGAAATTAAGCAATAGGAAAAGCCCTGCCACTTACATTCTTTAGTTTGGAGGAGTTTCAGTTTTCAAATACTGAAACCGGATAAATCTGTTACATTTATTTAGGAATATCACAAAAGCATGTAAACAAAACATTGAATGTAAAGTAATACTGGAATCAAAGATATGTTTTGTGTGATGGGAAAATATTCAGCTGCATTTCAAAAGATGTTTTCTAGCCATCTGAAAACAGAAATGTAGTAAGACAACCACTGTCATCTTTTTCCACCCTCTCATCCTCAACACCGTTACTTGCCTACCCAACTATATATAAAATCCTTCAAAAAAACTGTTGCCTTAGCAATACAGGAGTTATCTTGACTTTTCAATGATGCCCTTAGACTTTTGGCTTAGGGCAGAATAAAGTAATCTCTTCACATTAACATCTCTCAGGGAATAGTTCACTTGTCCTGCGAGCCAGTCGATATGTTTGTTTTTACGACATGCAACTAACGAATGTTTAAATAAAAAACTAAACAGAATATGGATATTTGTCAGTATGTGTTACCTAACAAATGTAGTGTGTTCATATTGTAGTCTAAGCCCTGTCTAGACTGGTAATACAGATTCTTTCAGGTCAAATCTTGACCCTGTACTAGGTGAGAAAAAAGGTTGTGTGTAAGTAAGCCTCAAAATACCTATCTAAACCCAACTTTTAGCATACCTTTCCTTCTACGTCTCTTTTATGCTTGTTATGTCATCACAGCTTCTACAATTACCAAAAATGCCTGTTGGAAGACAGAGATGGAACAGGAAATGAAGGGATTCTAGACATTAACTAGATGAATGGCATGGGGATGGTATAGAGATGACTAAAATGTTGATGGACACGAAAGTCGTTTTACTGGGATGAGAGTTATACTACCTTAGATGCTTTAGGTCATTCAAACCCATCTTTGAGTTCGCACAATTTTTTTTGAATTTGCAAATTAAAATTGTATCTGAGCCTTGCGGATCTCAACAATTACTTTAGGAATGAGCACTTCAGCATTGAGGATACACTGGGTAGCAGAATGAACAGTGTTAGCTCTCGAGTCTGCTGACCTTTCTGGATGTTCTGCATAGAATTACGCCTGTGAAAAGCGATGGGAACACAGCCAAATCAGAAGAGTAGCTTTTGATATTTCCTTGCATACGTGAGGCACAAAACTGAAACGAAGCCATCTTGTACCTGAGCAGAGGATAAGGCTAGACAGTTACCATCTTTGCTGTACTATTCCTGATCACTGGGGGTACTTGCTGAAAGACTCTTTTGTGTTTAAAAATAGCCTCAGATTAGCTCTTGTGTCAGTTAGTAACAATTAAAAAGGCTGTTAATTCACATCAGCATTGCTTTAATGATTCAGTCTTTCTTTATTAACATTTGTGTAGTCCTTTACTGAATCGCATACCAAGCCCATTCATACTACTACCAAGCCCATTCATGCTACTCTACATCATTGGCTACTTAATATGCAGATATCTCTAATTCTTTCAAACCTCAGTCTTCACTCCAGGAGTCTTTAAAGTGGGGGACAATGTTATGTGGTCAGAATACTTGTGAATTTGTTACTGAAACACTTAGTGCTGCCACTTGAATTCAGCTTCTTGTTCCTAAGTTATGACACAGCGCTGGCATTCAGAGATTGTGTGGATTCAAAAGATTGTACAACCAGTTTACCTAGCTTATATGCCTGGCATCAAAACTTTTAGGCAAAGTACTGGAGTAAGTCACATTAGTCTGTTGAAGCCCAGATGAGGAAGAACTGGACTGAACTAGCACAGCTGCCTGTTCAAAACCATACCTTTCCTTTGAAAATCATCTGAAAAGTCAGGATGGATAGTAATAAAACATCATATACAAATTCATCCATAAATGTAATTTATTTCATAACTGCAAGCATGATCAGTGAGCCATTGTGACCATATACTAATATCATTGCCCTATAACAGCAGAAAAGTAAATCATGCAGAACTATAACTGTGCAAAATGTTCAGTTTATTTTTGTATAGGCCGTACTGTTTTGAAGGTTCAAAAAAAAATCATGTATTCAAGTAGTTTCAGAACTTGCATAACAATACCTGTGGTTACATACTTGAAATTTGAATGTATCCTTAGAAGAAGAAAAATGCAATGAAATAGCTTCTGTAGCAGAAAAATTCTCAACAGTTCTACATAGAGAGAGATGGGCCGAACTTCAGATGCAGGAATTGGATAGAGGGCAATACCACGTGAAGATGACTTCCTGATCATGCAGTTAAAAAAAAGTCCCTTTAAAAAGTGAAAGATTCATAAATTCATGGATCTTAAGGCAGAGGAGCCTGTTACGGTAATGGATTCTTGCCTGATGTATTGCAGGCTAAAATATTATGTCTAGCTTCTTGATCAAGTTCTGTTCCAACCACAGGATACCCATCAACTTGCAGTAGCCTATTTGGCAGAAAACATGGAAGTTCTACTTGATATGTTTTGTATGTACAGCATTTTAAAACTTCAGAACTTCAAAATTCAGCGTGTGTTTGACACGCTCATTTTATGAGCATTCTTCATCACTGACTATAGATATAATTTTCATTATATTCATGTAAATTCATTGCAAGCTGGGGGCAGGAAACTCTTAGGCAAAGCAGAAGTTTGCTGTTTCATTTGAGTTTATTACTCTTTCCTCTTTTTTTTATTCTTAAAATGATCGAACAAGGGGCTTTGCACCTTTTATATATTAAATACGGGAGAGGTAGGCATGATTTTCTTCCTTTTTCTAAGCTGAGCTGATTTCATCAAGTTGTTTTCGAAATGAGTATTTTTTTAAAAAGATAATTATGCTTTCATGCTTTGCTTTTTCATGTCTAAAACAAATCCTAGAAACTTCAGGTATATCTTCTCTGGAAGAGTTTGGTGAAGGATAGTGCAGAGAATCAACTCTGAAATGCCCAAAGACTTGCTTGGGCACAAAGCATAAATTTTTATGTATCTACATAGATCTGCATGTTTACGTAAATGTCTATGAAAGAAAATACCTTGAGTACAGACCATAATAGGCAGTATCTATAGAAAATTATAATGAAAACAGAACCCTTCTGGTTTTGGTATCAAACTAAAAGGTATCAAAGGTGCAGAAGTGTTGGAGGTATTCAGAGATATCAAACGTCTATAAATGAAACAGACTAATCTCAGTCAGAAGAATAAATATTCAGACAATAATAAACAGTATGAACATCTTCTCTCTGCATCAGATGAAATTGTATTCTGAAGATTTTCCACTGTGTTGCTGAAATGAAAATTAATACTACTAAGTATTTTCTACTTATGTACTTGTCTGTATAACTTGAGTTCATAATTTATGTATGTTTTTCAGGTAAAAGTAGATCTTATTCCCCTGATTTTGGGAATATTTCACTGATGAAACTCATTTTTTGTTGGAGTGACCAATCTATAAAGGTAGGAAATAGTCTGTGTCAATTGTTACAGTTTTGACATTGGCTTTAAATGACATTGGCTGCAATTTAATATTTTGAATTTGTAATGTTCCATGACAGTTATGAACCTGTGGTGAAATTGTTACATAAATCCTGCCATTTATATGATCTGTGAAAAGTGCATGACTATTTCAGTATGAGATATTTTAATTATAAAACTATCTGGCTTTAAGTACATGTCTAAATATGGGAAAATAACTGTCCATCCTGAGGTTTAATCTAGGTAATATAATGTAGCAAAAATAATTGTAAAGTGTGCTTGCTAATTTTTTTGTTCACAGCATGTGTTTAAAAAATCCAAGTTAACTTTTCTCTAATGATCAGATGTTCCTTATATTAGAAATGCCATTTTATGCTCTAGGAAAATAAGGGGTCTGTAATGTTATGTCAATAACAACGTGTTATAGAAGAAACAGAATGCTGCTTAAATGTATGTATAATTAATCCTAAATCCTTACTCATCAGAATACCTTTCAAGAAGCATTACAAAAGTTGGTGGATTACAGATTCCCAGGTCATATTAAGCTCATATCTATTGCTGGTGAAGACTCTGATCTCTTGAGAGACTAATTGCTGTTTCTTTAGGTTCATCGGGTAACTATGAGATAGTCTGTTAAAGAGTGAAATGAGAAATAATCTTTCATTTTGGAAATATGTATTTAAGTAAACTTTCTTGGTAGCTTGGGCCAGTTAATGTTCAGGAGTATGAAACTGAAGACAGGAGAGCACTTAGTCCACAAGAGATGTAATTCCCCCCACCACCCAAGTTTGTTATGATGTTACTTGTAAAAGTGAATACAGCTGCCTGCATTTGAAATGAGAATATTTTCCAGGGCTGAGAAGCATGCAGGGCTGTCATTGTGATGATCCCCTGTTCTATTAGATGGAGGCAGTAATGTTTTCTGCAAATATTCACATCCCATTTAGTTCAGCATTTTATCTTGAACTTCTCAATTGTTTATTATTTGCCCCACTGTCTGCACATCTTCTACGTTATTTCAGCATTCTCCTACCCTCACAGACTGCCCCACTTCCTCTCACAATAAGTTTTTTTTTTTTGGAATCCTTTTAATGAAATCGAATATAGAAGTTCAGTTTCAATAGCTGCAATTGTCAAGTGAAATCCATGAAACCCCGTGTTGACCTGGCCAGCTGCTGAAACTGTACAGTAGAGTTGTATAGCCGCAGAACTTGTATTTGTGATATAACTGATTATGTGAGATCTATATATAATTTCCAATGAATCTAGCAACTCATACAGTGAAAATGGTCTTATCTACCAAAAGATGTTAGCGTGCAGGAGGAGGAGGTGTGAAACAAGCTACCTTACACTTCTTTCATCTGAAAAGACTTCAAATTTAACCTGACACTGAAGTTGTCAAGTACTGCGACTACTATGCATATCAGCTCAACTCAAATTCTGTCGTTATTCTGACAGCTTTGTAGTTGTAATGAGCTTTGTTAACCAGCTTTGTAGTACATCTTTTTTTCCTCTGTTAGCAGCCAAACTGCTCTAAGTATTTTAACTTTCAAAATCATTTTTGATGTTGGCAATAGGTTCTGGTCATCAGCTGCCAACAACCTTGTATGCTCTGTTTATAGTAGGATGGCTCTGTAACCCTTTCGTTCTGCAAGCACAGATTTATGGCTAACATATGAATCCTGAGCAGCATGATTAAGCAGTTGTGTATGTTCATCCAAAATATCACTAATTACCCTCCTCTTAAACTTTTTTTATGGTTATTCTCAGTGGTGGATACTGACTCTCAGGTGTGATCCAAAGGGCTCACTATTTTTTGACTCCTTGTCTTACAGAACTGTAACAAATTCTGTGCAAATAACCAAATTGAAAGAACCTGCTGCAAATGATTGATTTGGACTTCAGTGCCCTAACTGAATTTCTCAAGTTGAAGGGCTTTGAGATGTCTTATTCATATGCTTTTGAAGTTTAAGATAGAAAATTTTTAAATACTTTTCCAGAGTTTTTTCCCCCTCGGAAAATTTTAAAGAAAAGGTCTTTTTCATGCATTTTACTGGTCTCTCAGTTACAATATAGCTTCTTGATGCCATGTTCCCACCCCACCCTGAAATTACTTAAGTGTATTGCTCTTTTCAGAGATACAGCTGAAAAGAATTGCTTGCCCTAAAACATTTAATACCAGGGAAAAGTGATTTTACCTTTACCATTAATTGTACTTATTTCATATCTAAAATAATCTGTTCCTCAATAATCTGATAGCTTAAATGTATAACATTTAGGGCCTGACTTGGAAGCCTAACCCCACCACCCAGTTCTGCTCTTGTAGTATTCCTGTTCTGTATGGGAAAATTTATATCTCCTGCTATCAGCTGGCTACTAAGCACAGTCTCTTCCCTTGGGAAAGTTATTAATGCCATATTTAGATTTCTGACATAAGCGCCTGCATGAGAAGAGTAGTTGCTTTAGCCCCTCTCTTTCATTGAAAAGATAGACACTGTGGAAGAACTGTTCAGATTTTCAGAGGAATGAATCATCTCTGGAGTCACTCATCTCTTTCTATTGATTCCTGCAGTGCATCTGTAATTTTTTCACTTCAGTTTCTTCATTTCCATTAAATATCGAAAATAAGGTGGGATGAGTCTAAGACATATTACAAAGGACCTTACTTTGAAAGCATAGGCCACTTCACATAAAGGATATCTCTGAGCTGGGAAAGAAGCTAGTATCTTATCTAGGCCCATGTTTTACTTTACAATAAAATAAACTCTAAATGCATTTATGTTTTTGCAGTGTTTGGCTCTTTCCTTGAAGCCAAGTGACTTCAGTATCAGTGTCTAGAGAATTCTCCTGACAGTTGCTAGCCAGTGGATCCCCTCTGCAGCTGTGCCTTGTTTAGGCTGATCTTCAGAATGAAGGAAATTAATTTATGCTCAAAAATCATTGCAGACTTCTCTTCCTCCCCCCTGCCTTTGTATTTCTATCTGCTCTTGTAGTAGCAAGTGGCTCTCAGAATTAGAGGAAAGCGTACTGGGTACTACAAGTCTGATGTTTTTGCTCTGTAGTTCTTTTTTGCTCCCTGATGCTGCTGTGTGTTATGTAGGCAGCTTCGGGAAGCTTCAGCCCTGAGGAGGTTACAGCCTGGGCAGCTGCAGAAGTGATGTCTAGCATCTCTCCTCAGAACCAGTCATTATAAAGAGGATAGCAATTCTTGAAAGTAATGGGTGATGTGTAGAAAGGACAGTCAATATAATTTAGTATAGATGTAACAATTCTGCTTGCCTTAACTCTGCTTCACTTACCTTCTGAATTGTTCTCTAGTGTTGCTGCTGCAGATTCTCATAGTCAAACAATTACCTTTCACTTTTTAATATTTGTATTTATAGTAGGACATGTACTATTTATACTTTGTCAGGCATACCTTTAGAAGAGGCATAATTTCTGTCATATTTCATAATCCCAGCTCAAAAGCTGCTAGTATTTACAATTGTGTTACGGGGAGGAAAAAATGATTACAGGTATATTAGTAGCCAACAAGATAGCCAATGTAAATATACTGGAAGCTATAAGAGAAAATGAAGGATGTTCATAGGAAATTGTGACAACTGTTTTGTGGTAGAAGTAGGTGAGGTCTCTGGAGATTTAACCCTGTGATAATGTTAATGAGGTATTTGAATTGTTGGAAGACACAGAGGGCAAAACTAAAGATGCGAAACCACACTGGGCACTTTGGAAATGTGGATTCAACAAAGTGATAGACAAGTGGCATGCATAGGTTTACATGAGCCTCCACAATGTCATGTTGTGCCATTTGCAACACTTTCTTATTCCATTATAAGATGTTGGAGGAAATTGAATGTTACAAATCCTTCCTGGCTGGCATACGCAGCAGCGATACAGGTAGTGAATATCTGATCCAGATTTGTGACAGGTTCTTAGCAGATCAGACAACAAAAAAAAACAAAAAAAAAGATTATTTTTGTAGGCTTCGTGCAGCATATCTACCAACGAAAGGGACGTTTTCTGAAAAGTATGCACAATTCTTTTGCATGCACCTGTCAAATTTTATTTTTTGCTAGAAATTTTCTAGGACAATCAATGCATGCCTTTGTTTCCTTCTTTCTTAATCATTGTAGATTTATTGTAAAAGTATGCTGTAAAGTCAGGGTCTGTAATCCCCAAAGCTCAAATTTGCATGGATGTGAGGAAGTGGAAGCTGCCTTTGGTGTCCCCTGTAAAATGCCATTATAACAAGATGAAGGGTGTGTGCTATGTCAGAAAGCATAGGTCTCAGTTCACTTGTGTTGAACTTTCACGCTGTGGACCTGGCCACGGTAAGTTTATTTGCAGTAAGAGGTTGTGTCACAAAGGACATCTACAGCCTTTGCTCTGGTTAATGATTTGAATTTGCAATGGCAGCTAGAAATGTGAGTGTGGACAGCCCAGGAATTAACCATACTTGATTAGTGAGATGAAATTATCTCTCTTCCAGGCAGTTCAAGGGAGACTGCCTATCAATTTAAATTCATATTTAAGGTGATGTGTGGCACACTATCCTGAAAAATTTAGAATCTCTTTTCTTTATGAAATTTCCTGCACTTGAGAATAAATACCTTCTTGAGGGAGGGAAAATGGTATTTCTTTTCTGTAGGACATAACGAATTAGGAGAAGGTATGCAGGCTACCATTTACCCCATGCTGAAGTTTACTCAGCAAGGACTGCAAAAGATTGGGTCCCTCATGAAAGGTCTCCTTGTGCTCTAGGCCTTTGAACTTCCCCATCCTTCTTATCCTTCTCCTGTAAAGAGAAGAGAAGGAAAAATAACTGTGATACGATCTTCACTCTGCATTGTCTTAACATTCGTGTGTTGTAGAACAGGTATTGCAAGTGCAGTTTTTAGACTCTTCATAATTCCAGCAGATGCTCCTTGTGGATAAGAGAAGTTTTTGGAATGGTTTCTTCTCCTTATGTTAGACAAAACGTACGGTATTAGTTTGAGCTAGAGGAATGGGAGATCACCATAGGAAAATATTATTGGAGCTTTTCAGAGGCAGAATAGACCCCCAGAGTTCTAAGAAAAAAGTCAGATTATGAGCTACTCAGAGTATACAGTTTATTGTTGCATACATTATGAAACAATTGGAGATATTTCTTACTAGCTGATCTCATTGTCAATGCTTCACTAACATATACTGGCATGACCCCTTGATATCAAATAGGCAGTAGGCTACTGATTCAGATATGGAGATTAATGACAATGAATGTTCTGTTAGTGGACAGCAGTCATCGTTGACAACTTGCACCATTTTATTGATACCGAGTTAGCATTTATTTCTAGTACCTATATAGAAACAAATGATTATCACTGCATGGAAGTTTCTAATAATAATGATTACTATTATTAATAATTGAAATACTGATATCATCTAGTAACAATCTGCATCTATGACAGATTATTGAGGCAATACAAGCGATGCTGCTGGCAGAAGTTCAAAGGACTATGAAAACCTTGAGAAAGACGTCAGTCTGCAGAGAGCCACTGCCCATACTAGAGAATGGAAATGGTAAGTTGCAGACACTGCCAAAGATTGAGGAGGTAAAGCAGATGGATTTGCAATACATTAAAAACATTCCTTTGCCATGTAAGTGCAAAATTTATTGGTATATTCTCTTAGCAGAACTTCTAGTGCTCAGAACAAGTTAGGAATATGAGTTCATAATACATTATTTCTGTGCAAGACAAGCCAAGTGGCCTATATCTGACCTTATCAGGCTATCAGTTTTCTTGTATGATTGTCAAGTAGTTAAAGGATTTCTGTACTCTTTCATCGTCTCAGCATTAAAGAAGAAAAGGTAGAGTTTGCTTGTTCAATATTTCTTACGAATATAGTTCTGGTAGAGTAAATACATTTGAAAATAAAGGAAGCAGTGTGTTTGAGATAGAATCAGTAAAGCATATCAAAATGGAGGGAAATTTTACAAATTTATCTTTTCAATGACATCAGGCTTATACAGCACTAAAAATTAATTGCTTAAATTTTATAACTTCATAATGTAATACAGAATATTTTCTTTTAGAAATAACCTCTCTGCAAGGAGAGCTGAAATGCATTTTACAATTAGATCATTTCATTTTACATGAAACTTACTCTTTGCAACTTTACAATGGTGCTAATGTTTATGGTAGAAAAGATTGAATCTGAATTTATGTCATGAAGTTATACTCATTTTTTTAGCCCATTAGCTGAGTCTTAAAATAAGTGACCTAAATTTTAAATCCAATTTTATTAGTGAGTCTTCTCTTGGGAAACTAATTTATAATCTCATTGAGTGTGTGTCTGTCATGAAAATTTGTTACCAGTCTGCTTGGTCCAGGATACTAAAAATGATCAGTGATACTTGTTTCAGGCCACAAAATAAAATGATGTCTCTATAACATGGACTCTTATAATATTGCAAAATTCAAAAGCTTTGAATAATTGTCATATATGAATTTATGTATTGCTTACACTGGAGATTGCTTTGAATCATATTATTTTAAGTGGTTTAGGAGAAGATGTGTTGTAATTAAAATATCCCCAGCTACAGCATTCAACTCTGGATTTAATTCAAAATTTCCTGAATTTTCAGAGTTAATTTCAATGTGGTGTTTTGACATGGACTACAACAGAAACTGGAACTAATTGGAAGTCACAAATGCAAATGCACGCATCTGTAAACTTCAGCTCTATTTGTTTCAAATCCTTTTGTAACAGATGAAACTTAACTTCTGTTATATAAAGCGTGCAGAAATGATGACACAAATCTAGTTGCCTTGTATATTTTTCATTACTTAATTCTAATCAAGTATCGAGGCACAAGGAAGTTAGGAATTCAATGGAGTTACTGTAGCTTTCCATCCTCTGAAAGGGGGATTCGACTTTTTGCATGTCTAGTAGTGTTTGCTATCATTTTTTTCTTAACACTATTATTTGCAGTTTATTCAACAAGCTTAACTAGAAAATTGACTTGCTAGAATGAGCACAGTATTCGTACGTGCTTATGTTGGCTAGGATGTAGCTTTTTTCCCTGCTCTGTGATCTAGACATGAATCTATTCTATGCATGAATCTATTCTATAAAGCAGGATGTGTTTTTTGACATGCCATCAATTGTTCAGCGATTGAATGTGTTCTGAAATAGACTGAAAACAGACAGACTGGAAAAGAACTGCTACATTATGAGTGTTTAATATCATTAACTTTCTTTTTGTTCTCATTTCCATTCACGTTTTAACTTGTTATATTATTTTGTCACAGTATGTAAATAGCACAAATATTCTTCCTTTGGTTTGTATGTTTTTGCAATATGCACTGCAAAACTTGCTGAGTTGGTTCAGAATTGAACAAATTATTTTCTGATATGTAATATGTTAAAGTGTAGAACTATTTGTGTCAGGTACTGATATGCAGAAATTAAAAAATCCAAGAGTAAGTCCACAGACTATAATTACTGAGACAAGTAATTCTGCTTTTAATTGTTCCTCTAATATATCTTCCTGTATCTTTCTTCATACTAAGTATTTATAGGTTACACAGCAGCTGCCACCTTGTAAGGTAAAGGCCAAGTATTGTTTCAGGTTTTTAATTCCACAGACTTTCATTGGAGTCAATAGGTGTCTTTAAAAAGATGAGTAAAACTTCCATATTTGACCTTCAGTCCTTATTAACTTTAAAGTTTGTAGCATATTATGCAGTCATTTTTCAGAAAGCCCTTACACCTTAGGAGGTTCAGCATCCTTACCTCATGTATATGGGTGATAACATTTAGAAAACTGTTTCACTTGCTGAATAATTTAAAATGTTGTATTTTCCCCTGTGGTTCCATACAGAGAGAATTGTTAATTGAATAAAGAAACCAAGACTATAATGCATTATTTTCAGAAATAAAGATAAGGAATTTAAAAGATATTCATGTAAAAGCATGCCAGAGAAAGGGATAATTGTATTCTGTCCTAGTATGTTCTTCCATTGTTGCTAAAAGGAAATAAAAATGCAAAGAGTTGCAATTTCTTTATGCTAGTGTCAGAGATAATCATTTTGGGCCTGTTCCAAACATATTGATAGCAATCTTACCATTGATTTCTGTGAGCTCAGTACTTCAAAGAAGCTGAGGTTTTCCCTAGTTTTGACATTTGCCGTAATTCCAAAAAGTACATTTCACTTATTTCTCCTTGTTTTTTGCCTCAACACTGATAATCAGATACCTGTTCTTCTAATGCATACGGAGCCAAAACTATCTTATTGTATACAGCATTGCAGCGTGTAAATTCTTCTGGCATTGTGTACCTTAACAGTACTATTTAATAGGTTGTCAGCGTGGTACTGTTTTCCACTGCTGCATGCGTCAGAGGCAACACATTTAAAATCTTAGCAATCTAGTTATCCACGTTTATTGGCGTAAGGTATAGAACTAGGTTTTCTGTCATTCTTCGTTCATTTTTCATTTGTAGCAGTTGATCTTACCTGATACATATCTAGTGCTTAGCAAACCACGTGCAAAATTGGGGGGGGGGGGACGAGGGGGGGGACCCCTGTTCTCATTCAGTAGCCCAGTGATTAGAAGCAAAGAAATTGGATGGTCCCTCCTGTAGTTGATTTGAACTCATGTCTTCCTCAAGAGTAATTTATTGCTTATCTTCAAGGTATCCTGCAGTGAATTCTCTCAAATTCATCTACAGAAATTGTTCCACTTTTCATGAAAATCTCAAAATATTTACAAGGGTAAGAGTTAGAAAGTAGATTCTGTCACTTCCAGGTGAGTGTTCTGTGTGGACTGTTATCTCTGTTCAGCTAGCGCACTGAAGCAGTTTCACGCAGGCCATTTTTCGATGCTTGTTCTTCTAACGGATAGGGAGCCAAAACTACCTTACTGTAGACAGCATTGCAGCATGTAAATTCTTCTGGCATTCTGTCCTTCAGTTTTTTATAAAATGCAAGTAACTGGACTTAATTGCCTTTTAGAAGAATTGTGAGGATAAACGTTTAAGATTGTGGTGTTTGTACTCAGACATTAAATTAAGGAATTAATATTTGATATTGTAGGAATGGCAAAAATTGGAAAAGGAGTGTACCAAGTACAGACTTTATTCATACATACATAAAATATTATAACGACTTTCACTTACTTTCTATCTCTGAAACAAATGAGGCTACAATTCAGATTTGTGGAAAATTTAAGTCTGAAAGAAAACACCACTAGGGTTAGCTTGCAACAACTTCTGTTTTGTACTTAAATTCTTAGTTGAAGAAACTGCTAATGATTCAAGCTCTTAAGTATATTTGAAAGCTATTAGCTATAACCTCATCTTTTATATGTGGTTTTGGAGCTCTTTATTCAATTAAAGAAATTGGTTCTTGCAGGAAAAAAGCTTTTGCTAATAAGTACCAGAGTGAAACTAGCAGTAGAGTTTCAGAGATTAATGTAAAGAATCATTAAAGTTTATCTACAATATAACAATATGTTTTGTTAAAATAAGGAATCCTATCCAGATAGTAATGGTAAATCAATGAAAGGCCAGATATAATAGCTTCTGTTCACTGGAAAAGTGTAGTGACCTGCAGCATAAGGTCTCAAAGACTTCTATTGTCTGAATTTTTCAGAAAGAAAACTATCCATTTGCAGGTGACTTTTTATGTCTACTTTATGCACATCTCTCTGGAAGTCATTCTGTGACAGTGTCTTTCTGTATAGCAAATGAATCTGCTTTCCTGCCTGCAAAGTCTTAATGTTTTGTCAAGAAAGTGCAGTTAAGGACAGAGGTGGTGCTTTGTTTGTGACACTTTATTTTAAACTGTCTTGTTACAACCTATTACCTTTTCGTATTAGGCCATATATTTGTTTTGACTCTCTATTTAAACAAAAGAATCCAGAAGACAGTCCCAAGTCTTGACTTTAATCTGGTCCATTGATACCACCAAGGTCACGTACAATTTAGATGGAAACTTGGCCTTATTTGTCTGATATATTACCATAACATATCAATGTAACTTGCATTTTTTCTGACAAAATTCTAAACAGCTAGAAAATTTGAACAACATACTAGGAATCAATTTTTTTGCATAACATTGTGCATTCAGATGAATGTACCCCTCTGTCCTTACATCCTAACATTTTTCCCATACCGTGTTATTTTCAAGTTTGGATTCGGGCTTGTGACGTATATAACATTAATTCTTGGAAACTTTCTTTGCCTTGCTGCAGCTAGGTTCCATGTCCAATATGAATCAAGTAGTCAAGTGAGTGGAAAGAGGTGTCCAGATATAACATGAGGGACTCTTAGAAATGGACATAACCAGATAATTAAAGCTGTTGGTACAGCTCTTTGCAGATCTCTTCTCTTGAGGATGGACCTCTTGTACAATTGGTGATTAAGACAGTGAAAAAGAAGGAACTCGTGGGAGGATTTCTGTTAAATACAAGGAAGGAAAAAAAGGCGGAAGAGAAGAGGATAAGGGCATACAAAGGAACTGAAATTAAAAAAGAAACCTAGGAAAATAGAGAAGAAACAAAGAAATCATCCTGGA